ATCTTTTGATCGATGATCCAAGCCATTGAATGGTTCTGGCTGGTTGTTCTATCTCTCTCTGGACGGCGATTTGCGAGGAGTGGAAGGGTTGTTCCTGAGCCTAACTTTTCAGCCAGCAAAAGGGAAGTAGAACTCTGTTATTCTATAATTTCAGTTTCTATGGCTTCTTTATGCTTTGAAGAAATGTTAGTTTTTTTGTGACTTGAGCATCTTGAACTCTGTAAATTTCCAACAAAACTGGTATCAAAGCCATTCGATCTAGGGCTTGGCCATGTTCATCTTTGAATTTGTTGTTTGGGTTTCTCCTGTTGTGTGACTTCCATGGTCTGAACATTTAATATAATCTGGACATCTTGTCTTTAATTCGATACTGATTCCTTGTAATCTCTTGTTTGTATGTTGTCGACTAATTTGGGTGATTGATGACTTTGGCTGGCTTGCTCGATTGAGAGTTTGAGGGTATATTTACTGTTTGTGAACGGCCAACTGGTAAGATTGTTCCAACCTTACCTTTGAATACGGTTTGGTGGTCTTTCTTGATTGATGCATGATTACTTGATTACCTATTTGTGAATTCTGGTGATTGGATTCTTGTGACTGATTTGTAATCTTAGAAGCATATTTACTTACATCAATACATGTGTATTGCCTGAGCTTAAATCACACCTGCACACACGTCACATTGAGGTTTCTTGATCGGATTGATTCATTATTGTGCTTCAATTCTTTTGATGATTTCCATGCTAAATTAAATTATATATTCAACACTAGCTTCAACTTAGGTGAGCGAATTTTCAATTCTAAGATTGTGAGGAAAGTTATGAGATCCCTATCTAAGAGATTTAGACTCAAGGTTACTGATATTGAGGAAAGCAAAGACCTAGATGCCATCAAGATGAAAAAAAAACTAGTAGGATCTCTTCAAACATATGAATTTAGCCTACCTCAGTCAAAGAAGAACAACTCTTTAACCCTCAAAGCTGTTAGGGAAGTAGATAGTGACACCACTGATGATAACAAACTTAAGGATGACGAGCTTGCCTACCTTGTTAGGAAATTTAAGAAATTCCTTAAGAATAGTAGGAGACCTTTTGAGAGATTTAAATGTGAATTTAGTACATCCAGGAAAGATAGAAGAGAGAAAAGTGATGCTAGAGATACTTTGAAGATGTTTGTGAGGTGTCATGAGTGCTAAAGTTTTCGTTATGATAAATCTCTGGTCAAAGTGATGTTAATCGCAACATTGTTCGAGTTTCTCTTCAAGATAAGAACACTTGTATTTCTCATTGAGTAGATACTTAGGTGCATGCATATACATTGTTCATGGAATTTACATAAATCATGCATGCACTCTATTTTTTTTTTGTTATTTCACTTTTTTGTGCGTTCATTATTTTTTTAAAAATATATAGAAAATATGGAAAAAAAAATGAAAAAAAATGACTTTTTAACTTAAATTTTTTAAAGTGAGATCGTTAGACATGTTAATCATTGCATTTTTCGAGTTGCTTTTCACGATAGGAACACTTGTATTCCCCATTGAGTAGGTACTTAGGTGCATGCATCTGCATTGTTCATGGAATCTACATAAATCATGCATGTACTCTTTTTTTTTTTTTTGTTATTTCATTTTTTTGTGTGTTCGTTATTTTTTTTAAAAAATATATAGAAAATATGAAAAAAAAAATGACTTTTTTAAGTTTTTAACTTAAATTTTTTAAGTGAGGCCATTAGACATGTTATTTTGTGATCAAATATTAGTATTATTGAACTGTGAAACTTTATATAGGGACCAGGAGATAGGATCTAACCGTAAGAAGAATACTAGGTATATAAAGTTTTCATTAACTTTGTTTAGAACTTACTTTGAGTACTTTGTATAGGCTATTTCAAGTACAATATGCACTGTACACATTAAGCTCTTGTGAGTGAGTCTTGATCATATCTGTGAGATTTGGGATGTCGGTTATCTATGTGTTAGAGTTGACTTTGAACATGAATTGACCTTTAATTAGTTGACCTAAACTCTTATATATTTATTTAAAAGAAAAAAATTATTGAGCTTAAAAAGATTTGAATTATACAAAAATTTTGAGATACATCTTATATTTTTTTCATAACATTTATGATTTGAGTGATTAAATCTGCTTTGCATCTTAAAATTTGGTATACCCTATGAGTCATTTGACTTCAACCTAAAGATATATATGTTATTCAAAATTATATATGAGCTTTTTATTTAAAAATTGTTCTAATAGCACTGAGTTTGACTTCATACTTTGAGAAATATATTTATTGACCAGTGGTTCTTTGGAAAAAGAATGCATTTTTACTGTTGAAGTGATGAGGAATATGTGGTTGAAAAAGAAGGAAATTTTTTTGATGTAATGGAAAATATTATTTTATTGAAGAATGTGTGGTTAAAAATGAGTAGAAGAATGAGAATGAAAAAAATAATGTGGTTCAAATAGGCCTATAAAAATACAAATATAATTTACCGTCTACATTTTTCTACAAAAACTCCAAATTTCGAAAGAAAAGAAAGTAAGAAGAAGTGTTTATTATAAATTTCAAATTTAGATTGTATCATTTATTTATTTATTTATTT